ATAGATACAGATAAAACAATTGCAAGTGACAACAGGAAGATTCAGGAACCCAGTGGAGTCAAGATGCTTTGCTACGTGATTCTCCAAATCACTCCCAAGGCCACCACTGGGAGGGGATGGGAAAGTCCCTCCCCACCTAAAAAGCCCATCTTCCCGATCCAGCTAACACTACCATGAATTTCTGATTCTCACAGTCATACGGGACAACCTGTACCACTTCAGCATATGTGGTGTGTTGGAGGAACAAAGTTTCATTGGAGCGACAAATGTGCCGGACGAGCATCACGCAGTGATGCCATGTGGCACCATTCAATAGCAGATCACTAGGAGCATGCAGCATCCCTAGCATTCATATCACATTTTTCCATCCCCAGAGCTCTGTGTGGCCGGTGTCAGCACTCCATTTTCAATACAGGGTAACCAGCGCTCACTCTGACTGGGACTGCCTCATGTGACACACAACGTCATGAATAAACTGAGCATTTTCCTGTCCCTGCTTTAGTCCCCTGAGCTTGTCCACTTGTGACGGACAAAATTAGAGTTTGGTTTGATGAGCCAAGTTAAGCTCTGATGAAATCTCTACATAGAATTGTAAAAGATACCTGCTTGGCCCCTCGTATATCTGTTTTATTTTCCTCTAGCGTGACATCCAACTGTGCTTTCCTTTGCAGGAAACAAACATCCTCTTGGATAAAGCAGGGACTGGAAAGCCACAGAGACACCACCCGCACGTTCTGCTCCCTGCGTGGGAACAGAGAGGGAGGCTGGGGCAGAGCTGGGATGAGATGGGCAGCAGGTCCTCACGCAGGACAAACTGGTGCAGCTGCCCTGCAGACAGTGCAGCTCTGCTGGACCTGCAGCTGCTCCAGCCCACTGGGCTTTCATGGGTCAAGGACGCTTCTCAGAAGGTGCTCAGGTCCTCACCAACGGTCCTGCCTTTCAAACTGGTATTTTAGCACAGTTTTCCCACATATGAAATGGAAACAATATCAACCTACAGGACATGAGTGGTTTGATGTGAAGGCAGCAGCACAGGCTGCAAAGAGAAAGTTGTGCCTGTGTTCTGCTGCCAGAGTCAATCCTCCACGGTTCATGATTTGGTCCTAAAATTCAAAGCTGCCTGCAATACTGGCCAACAGTGCCTGATGAACCTCCTCTCTCCCTGTGACCTTGATGATGTGCCAGCGAATAAAGGAGCTGCTAAGGAAATGAATGCAAGCTGTGCCTGTGAATGATATGGGTTTCCTGGCATCTGGCTGAAAATTGTGGCACTCATTCCCAGAACTCACCAGAATCGGGGAATCCTCCTTACTCCACTTCACTCCACTGTCCCCCAAGGGAAAGGAAAAAATACAGATGTCTGACTAGGGAGAGAGCAAGAGAGAAGCTACAGACACGTACAGGCTGTTGTGATAAGGGAAGTGGGAAAAAAACGGGCTCCATCAGTACCGGTACCGTGAGCTGCAGCATTGCCTGCTAGCAGCAGTGGGGAGAGGGACCCTCTGACAGGCTCCACTTGCTACCAGCCCACTCCACCCTGCAGGTGCATTTCTTTGGATGACCTTCCCATCTCTTGAAATTGTTTCTGAATGCAGGAACATTTGGAAGGGGTTAAATCACGTGCTGTGAACCAACTGGCAAGAAGGAGAAGATTTGAAAGCAAATGTGTGAAACCGGGGAGAAGGGGAAGGAGCAGCTGCTCCGATGGGATGAGCTCAGCCCCTCCAGGTGTCCCAGGAACACAAACATGTGCCCTGCCAGCCACGGCAAAGGCAGCGGGACGGGTAGTGACTGCGGCACTCAGAACTGGGGCAGCAACAGCACAGGCATAGCTGCCCTTCAGCTTCTTGCTGGGGCTCCACCGTACGCATTTATTGCAGTCGCGTGATGTGCCTGCACTGGTGCAGACTGGATGAAGTCCTGGGGGGTCTGGTTATCCCACAGCTCTGAGGCAGGCACAGATCCAGGGAAGGAGGGAGGCTGACAGAGAAGGAATGGCCTGGGCAAAAACATGTCTAGAAATCCCCAGGGTCCCACTGGAGAGCAGTGCTAGAGCCACGTTCCCCCACACTGAGCTGTGCAAGTTCCTCTCTGCAGCAAGTCAGCGCAGGATCATGGATTGCTCTGTCAAACAAAAGATTTTTCCTGCTACTGTGTCCTTCTTCAAAGATGGGGCTCTCTCTACCATGCACTGCTGTCCTCTTCTAGCAAACACACACAAGAGTAAGTGTGCTGGGAGAGCACCACGCGTCTTTGTAATGTCTGTGAGATGCCAACATCCGTGGTGTGAAATCCCCATTTGGTTTCAGGTCTTCTCTTTGCCTTTTCCTGCAACCACTTCAGCATTTTTGAGCTTCTGAAGGTTTAGGAGTTTCTACTTTTTTTCACAGTTAGGAAATTCAGAGCTGTGGTTTATCTACTTGTTTCCTGTGAAATACAAAGGGCCTGAGAGATTAGAGGGGTGTATGTGTGTGTGTGGCGTGTGTGCAAGGGGCAGGGGGGTAGATAAAGCTGCCTAGAGAGTGCAAGGGTGAGTGTTCAGTATCATGAGGAGACATTTTTCCCTGGGTCCAACTGGTGTGAAGAGAAGACTGCAGCCACATTTGTCTGCGACTTCTGTCGGGAAAGCACCCGTCACACCCAAGGTGATGTTCTGCAGCTTGTTGTCACCGTAGCTCTCAGGCTGTGGTTCAACGGCCATGGCAGTCCTCCTCTCTTGCCAATGGGCACCGCAGTGCTTGACGAGCACCCTCTCTTCCTCGCCAACACCAGCGACATTTTCTGCTATTCAAATCCTTTCCTACATTGCCATGTTTGCCACAGAAGTGTCTTGTTGACTAGGGGGCAGTTCAAACGACTGTGACAAGGAAGGGGCACAGTGGGTGTGAGGGATGGTCCATCCATGAAGATGTGGGCAGCACTGATGGAGAGTCTGGTGCTCCCCATCAAAGCTGCCCTTTCCCATCTGGCCTCGGCCCCACCACTGGGCTGGGACTGCCGAGCTGGGGAAAAGGCAAACAGGCAGAAGGCACGCCATGACTCAGCAGTGCTCATTTTTGCAACCAGCTTTCCAGCTGCCAGAAGGCGGTGAAGTTCTTGTATGAAAATGTTTTCAGTTGAATATATCATAAAAAGTAATAATAGATATTTCAAGATGTAAACAGTAGCTTTTTTCCTCCAGCAAAAAAAAAAAAATCACAATTACAGCCTTTGCGTGTCACGTAGCCATTTACTAACATGTAACATAACTCTACGGATCAAAAGTGGAGGAAAGAAACTGGATTAAAGGAAATGTGGGTTTTTTTAACCTAAAGTGTTCTCCATAAAACTATTATGCTGAGAGGATGACTAATGTAACCAGTGTGTGTTTTGAAGCGTGTCACGAACACTTTTTATGTTTTCTGAACACACAAAGAGAAACCCCAGGAGAGAATTAATTTACAAATCTGATTAAGCATAATGCCTAAGTGGCAAAAAGCATCATACAATAAATAGTAGACTCCACAGGTAAGCAAAGCTTTAAAAATATAAACCAAACATACTCTAAACAGAGCCCAGATGTGTGCATTTTGGGTAGTTTAATGTGTTTGATTAGATGTCAAAGGTACAGACGATGAAAGCAGAGGTCACGCTGAGGTATTACTTCTGACCTCTTCTTCATTAGCCATCATACTGCCTGCCTAGCGTAAAGCATATATCTTACTTTGGGAAGCAAAGGCAAGCCTGTGAACAGAGGAATGAGTCCTAAGATAGGGCTTTTCTACCTGATGTCAAGACAGACTTCTAGTGTGCTCCTTGGCCAGTCACAGTGGAATAAGTTGAGGTGGACCAAGAACCTGCCATCTCCCAGGGGTTTTGTCCCCCACCAGGCACAACCTATTCCCGCACCATTGACCCACACAGTAGGGCCAACGTACCCCAGCACTGACTCTTTCCTTTTGGGTGCAAGATCTGTGTTGCTTCACAGAAGGCCACGACAAGACCCTGCCCCAGGCTCCTTTGGCACCAGTCCCAGCTACCTCAGTCTTGATGAAAGCTACCATTTTGTATGGGTTGCGCCAGCCTTTGTTCATTCATATTTATAGAGTAGTTTATGATAGCATTTCAGAAGTGAGCAGTACTATTGCTCAGCAATCGGAGTTTACCTGCCTTCAGGGACTGAGTTCACAGGAGTTTGGATGTTAATTACAATCCCTTATAGCTGTAGATGAGGGGTGCCTTCAAACTCCAGATAGATGCTTATAAGAAGTTAAAGCTTTAAGTCTCATCCGTGCACCTCTGAATATTACGGGTATCTTTTTATATACAGGAATATACTTCCACTAATCTTCTCACCCCCTGGGATAACTGCCAATATACACAACACTTTTAAACAACCCTCATCATTTTTCAAAACCAGAGAGGTGACAGAGTGACTTGGCATGACTTAGACTTGCCCATGTGAGTGAGTGAGTGAGTGAGGGAGTGGGGAAATGCCCTGCCCTAGTGCTGTCCTGGCAGTCGTCTGATACGGGTCCACCTTCCAGAATCCTTAGCACATCTGAATGAGAGGCAAAAGTGAAAATCCATCCCTGTGTTACACTGGTCCCTGTGAAGAGAAGGAGGACCATTTTTGTGGTGAAAGCCCTGAAACGGACTCGAGGTATCCAAGTTACTACAGCTATCTCCTTACCTCTAGTAATGAGATCCAGGGATTTCTCTGTGTTTCTACTTCCCTCTGCATAGGGAAGATTTATCCACGACAGCATTCTCACACCTTTGTCTGTGTTCTCCATATTGACTGTAAGGTCTTCACATTAAAAAAAGCTTTCACTGTTTGTAGATCATCTAGACTAGTGGGACCTTGGTCTCCTGTAGATACCAAGAGACCAGCAACAATGAAGAAGAGGTGAAGAGCTGACAGTGTCCTGACAAGTTAGAAAAAGGAGAATCCATGAAGTAATGCCCTGAAACTTCTTTTCTGTGGGCCGGTAAAACATACGCTTACTTACACAATGCAGACACTGTCAGCAAAGCAGGAAGTTGTGTCCTCGGCATCGAGTCTCTGTGCCGTAACTACAGGGAGTCCAACACCTTGGACGTGGCTCAGGCGGAGAATCTGTGTCACGCGAAAGGAGAGGAATGGAAACAGCATGAAACCATCGGCAACAAAGGAAGGCGAACAAAAACAGGACAGACGGGATCGGAGACACAGAGCCAAGTACAAGGCAAAAAAATAGACCTGTGGAAAGCTGGAAGGAAAACAAATAAACCAAGTAAGTTAAATTCTTCATCCCACCCCCCGGTTTCTTCCATCTCACTTGCACCTTGCTGCTGAAATTTTCTCCCAATGCTAAAATCCGTGCATCAACACAAAGGACGTGGCACCCCACATGACACTTGCATGGTAAACATCTGCCTGAGGATGAAGATTGCTCTCTGTAATTTTTGCATTTTGCAGACACCACATTTAGCAGACACTGCATTTAGCAAACACAGTGCTGTGTGGGTCCCATAAGGCCTGGTCCTAACCACTATATGCTACAGCATCTTAGATTCTGGTCCCCAAACAGACAGAGCAGCATAAGCGATATTTTTTTTGCATGCAAGGTTGCTTTCAGCAAGTTGTGCCTTTTGGAGGCCACTCCTTTTCCCCTCCACGCCGTCACAAAAGTGTTTTAGGGTTGTTGAGCAAACATCTTGCCTTTGCCAGAATTCAGCGCCTCAAGCAAAGCACCAAAACCAACACTCAGCTTGAAGGTTTAACTGGGAAGTATTACAGGGAAGTACCACAGACAATCATTGCTGGCCAGACCTACTCTGCTGGTTTTGGCTGGGGTAGAGTTAATTTTCTTCATAGTAGCTAGTATGGGGCTATGTTTTGGATTTGTGCTGAAAACAGTGTTGGTAATAGAGATGTTTTCGTTACTGCTGAGCAGTCCTTACCCAGAGTCAAGGCCTTTTCTGCTCCTCACCCCACCCCACCAGCGAGCAGGCTGGGGGTGCACAAGAAGTTGGGGGGGGACACAGCCGGGACAGCTGACCCCAGCTGACCACCGGGATATTCCAGACCATAGGATGTCATGATCAGTATATAAAGCTAGGGGAAGAAAAAGGAAAGGGGGGACGTTTGGAGTGATGACATTTGTCTTCCCAAGTCACCGTTACGCGTGCTGGAGCCCTGCTTTCCTGGAGATGGCTGAACACCTGCCTGCCATGGGTATTGGGGAATGAATGCCTTGTTTTGCTTTGCTTGTGCCCATGGCTTTTGCTTTACTTATTAAACTGTCTTTATCTCAACCCACAAGTTTTCTTTCTCACTTTTACTCTTCCGATTCTCTCCCCCATCCCACCGGGGAGGAGTGAGCGAGTGGTTGTGTGGGGCTGAGCTGCTGGCTGGGGTTAAACCACGACATCTAAACGCCCTCCCACCCGCAATCCCTGAAAAAAGTATTCACTAAATCAATTCCATCCACACAGTGATAGAGTCTGCCAACACTTACGTACTCATTAGCATGATTGATTTCCCCTTATCTAATTAATTACTGCAGGTTTCACATTTTCACGTTACCTGCTTTGCCATTTGTTCAAGAACAGCAAATGGCCCATCACCACAAGGTGACGGCACTGAATTTGTCTTTGCCCTGTACCTCGCATTTTTCCCCAAGCTGGTGCAAAACTCCAACCAGGCACCAGCAAGAGCAGCCCAGGAGGTCTCTGGGTGCTCCATCCCTGCCTGAGGCTGGAGCCCCACCTGCCGCAGGCTTCTCATGCTGGAGGTACCAAAGGCTCCCCGGGTAACCCAGCCCAGTGCCTCTCTGTCCTCGCTGTTTGCTCATATCCAGCCTCCTTGCTGCAATTTAAAAGAATCGCTTCTTCCTCTCTTGGATGTTGAAAGCCGATGATCTCCTGCTTGCACTAGCTTTTTTTTGCATAAGGAGGGGAGCTTGTTACAGTCATTCTGCCTGACTCTTCACTCGGTTTCCGTACTTATACCGATCAAAGAGAGTGAGAAATTGTACTTGCTTTATGTGGAAGAAGAGACTGTGTAAGGCAGTGTGAAATCCAGCCCATAATTTTTTATTCTAAACCATACGTTACAAATACAGTTCATATAGAGTGCTCATTTAAGATTCAGTTTCATTTCTCCATAGGATTAATTAGCTTGCAATGAGGAAAATCATTTAATTAGGCCCACAACTGATTAGAGCCTGGTGCATAGCCTATCAAAATAAAGACGACACAAATTGATTTCAACACGTTTTGGGTCGGACCCAATCTTCCAAAGCAAATAGAGAGATAAGACAGCATCTGCTGACTCTTCACCTGCCAACTCTTTGTGCTGATCGCTAATTTTAGGTCCTGCAGGCAATTGTCCAGGTTATTTACCACCTGGGCTGTTGTGATCTTCTCTTGAATGTGTGTATTGATGTATGAGCTCTCTTCTCTCTAGCACGATAATACTGGTCCAGCTATACTAGCAGTATGAGGTTCAGGATCAATACTGATTCCTCCCTCATTCAGCTGAACAGCATTTTATTTACCTAATTACTAATACCTATTAAGGGCCTGAACTGGCAAATCTTGACTAAGCGGTCTAAAATGAGCGAGTTCAATACACTACAGAAATGCACAGTATTATCACTAGTGTACAATACAGGATGCACCTGCGATCTTCCCATCACAGATTCACTTGGATCCATCATGGCTAATACAAGTAAGTGACAGGACCTTATGGCTAGTAGTAGATTTGCGTCAGCCACATTAGGCATTAATTTTTCCCTACTGGGAATAGAACTCAACAATTTGCTTACATACTTACTGCAGGCCTATAAATATGTTACAGATACCCATTTTTTGATAAACAAAAATCTCTTCTCCCATATATGTATGCACATAGCTTGGCTCCTGGAGAATGGCTGTATGAAAAGACATCAGGAGTCCACCTCTAATTTCCTTCTCATATCAAAATCTGATTTACCCAGCTTACATCTCAGTTGAGTTTGGATGTCCAAACACCCAGGTGAGCAATCTCCATGCTTAAATTTGTAAATATAAATTTTCCTTTCTTGGTTCCTCAACTGTAATAAATATTCTATAAACTAATGGCCACTAACTACTTTGTTGGTCTCCATAGGACGCATGAACTCATTTTTCCATATCTAGATGGATTTTCAGACCACAGAGCAGTATCATTTCTTTGGAGCTTCTTCCTATAAACTCAGCAAACATGATTCACAGATATACAGGAAGCAAGTACCTTGCATAAGAAAATGTTATTTTTTTATGTTCAGAGGGTAGATGTCATTGAGACTGTGTTACCACTGACTGATTTTATTCATAAAGCCCACAGTTGCCTCCCTGTCCTCTTAAAGTGGACATTCTGTTTGCCAAAGGCAGACTGGTTTCAGCTCTGTTTGCTAGCACGTTTGCACAACCATGCTCTGTTTCTCTCTCTGTCCTGGACTGCAACAGTGGTAAGCATCAAGGCAGCTTAGATCACAGTGAGGTAGAACTTGCTTGTACTGCTATATGATGTGCTCATATAAAAGTTACCTAACAAGAAGGCCTGACTGCAAATTTCATCAAATAAAGGCGGAATGTTTAATTTATCAGCTCGTTCAAGCAGTGACCTCAGGCAGATGCCCATGACCCCAAAAGCACTCTAACACAAAGTGGGTCTGAGTCATGGTTTCTTCAAAGCCTCTTTGCACTGCACTAGTCTGTATATTTTGTGGAAGCTTAATGCAATACAAATGTACACAAGGCTCCTTTCCTACACCAAGGGAATGTAATAAGGCCATGACATGTCTGAGATTCAGATCTGAAATCATATAACAAATCCTTCCTCTGCAGTGTATCATAACACTGAACATGCCGGACTGGGGACTGGGACACCTAGTCATCCTCCCAGCTCCTCCCCTGCTTTTGCTGACCGACACTGACCAGTTGTTTCGCCTATGTCTTGTTCCTTTTTTGTCTTTCAAAATGAAAGCAGTGTTACTTTCCTTTTGCAAAGTGCTTCAAGCACGGCAGCATCAGTGAAGACTTTTAAGATGATGCTATCCAAAATTGCCAGGCATGGTTTAGGTGAAATAGAGTTGAGGCAGAGCAGAATGATGGAGTAAATCAGTGTCTCTCAAGCTTTTCAATCTATGCCTCACCTCAATCAGTTAAGAATAATTTCATGCCTGATCACAGAAATGGCTGCAGGGCCTGGCGGCAGGGTACTGCATGTCTCACTGGTCGGGGAGTGCTGGCGGGGAGGGGCATTCAAGGTCCCTGCAGCCAAACCCTCAAGGACGCTAAGATACAAATGTTGTCTTTCATAATACAGCAATTAACAAGAAATTACTGTTACAAGGGACTGGCATTTGGTTTGAAGATACTGGTTTTTTCAGATTTGACTTTCAAACATGTCTGTTCCATAGCATTTCATAAACCCTCACTAAATTCCAAACAAAACCAGGAAAAATTCAATTGTTTTGGGAAAGCCAGTGATTCAAACAGTACAGCAAACAACTGGTCAAGAGCAGGCAGCAAGCTGGGCTAGTGAGCATCACATAGAGAGCCCACCAACCCAAATGTGTGGTAGTCACTCAGGTCCATAGGACCCCACAGTATCTATACTGTTTATTTGTTGTCATGGTCCTTGGACCAAGTGTTGTGGTTTAACCCCAGCTGGCAGCTTGGCCCCACACAACCGCTCGCTCACTCCTCCCCGGTGGGATGGGGGAGAGAATCGGAAGAGTAAAAGTGAGAAAGAAAACTTGTGGGTTGAGATAAAGACAGTTTAATAAGTAAAGCAAAAGCCGCGCATGCAAGCAAAGCAAAACAAGGCATTCATTCCCCAATACCCATGGCAGGCAGGTGTTCAGCCATCTCCAGGAAAGCAGGGCTCCAGCACGCGTAACGGTGACTTGGGAAGACAAACACCATCACTCCAAACGTCCCCCCTTTCCTTTTTCTTCCCCCAGCTTTATATACTGATCATGACATCCTATGGTCTGGAATATCCCGGTGGTCAGCTGGGGTCAGCTGTCCCGGCTGTGTCCCCTCCCAACTTCTTGTGCACCCCCAGCCTGCTCGCTGGTGGGGTGGGGTGAGGAGCAGAAAAGGCCTTGACTCTGGGTAAGGACTGCTCAGCAGTAACAAAAACATCTCTGGATTATCAATACCGTTTTCAGCACAAATCCAAAATGTAGCCCATACTAGCCAATA